AAAACCTCAAAAGAACAATAGAGATACCAAAATAAAAAAAGAAAAAGAAAAGCAATTTCTCTGTGATTTTTGAGTGTGCATGTGGTATTTTCCAGGATCTACAATTTTGGGGCATTGTCCAAGTCAAGCCATGTTTCTGCTCACACTGATAGATAAAGCTGGCAGTCAGACCCCACATCTTTGTGAGATGCAGGCACCAGCAGGTGGTAGGAGCAGGGCAAGGGACCCAGCACTGTGACTTGCAAATCCAGAGCAACTCAGGTTGAGCTTAGTCTCAGGCTGTGGGGCCAGGCCTCGTCCCTTAGTTCAAGCCCCTCAAGGGATCTCTTCCCACCCTGACTGAGCCTCTCTGTCCTCAGCTGTCTCTCACCCAGTCACTGTGGAAATGTAACACTGGGAGCTCTGATGTGAAACCATCCTGGGGCTGCTCTGAGTTCTGGGTTCAAAGTAAACCCTTCCTTGGAATTGCATCCTACCAAGGGTTCTCTCTAGCTTGGGCTGGAGTCACTCACCAGCTGTTGCCTATTGAAGGACTCCTGTATGAGCAGAATCCAGTGGTTTCCCTGCAGCTCAGAGCAGTTGCTGCTCCATTCTATCACTGCATTTCTCCCTGCAGCCCTCTGGAGTCTGCAGCTTTCACTTTATTCCTGTAGATTCAGTCTCCTTTCCTGTGAGCCTCTAGCCAGGAGCTGGGGAGAAAGTGCAGACTCTCTTTTGTTATCTGCATTGTGTTCTGTATCTTCAATTTCAATTTTAATTTTTCTATCAGATCCTTCCTGATTCCTGAGGATGCATTCTTTCTTTTTTTCTTCCCCAAGTTATTTTCCAGTGTCTGGATCCCAAATCTTGGAGAGGCTGAGGTGTTATTGATACCACAATGCCAGTTTCCCAGAAGTCCCTGAGCTTTTCTTTGTTGACCTTTTTCTTACTGCTTCAATCTCATTGGCTGTTAATGATCTGACCAGGTTTTTATATCCTCTTTGTTCAGTTTCCATAAGTTGTATATGTCCAGAAATTTATCCATTTCTTCTCAATTCTCCAATTTACTAGAATATAGGTTTGCAATTGGTCTCTAGTAAGCTTCCTGGTTTCAGTGATGTCTAACATTCCCCCCCTTTCCATCTCTAATTGTATTGAATGGTCTTCTCTCTCTTGGTTAGTTTGGCTAAGGGTTTATCAATCTCATTTATCTTTTCAAAGAACTAACATTTCATTTGATTGATCCTGTGATTTCTTTTTCCTTTTTTTTTTTTTTTAAGTCTTTGTCTCATTTATTTCAGCTTGGATTTCTTTTTTAAATTTTCTTTTTTTTTTGGTACTGGGGATTGGACTCAGGACCCTGTGCTTGCAAGACAGGCGGTGGAACCACTGAGCTAAATCCCCGGCCCTTAATTTTCTTTTTTGAGACAGAGTCTCACTATGTATATGTAGTCCAGGCTGGCCTTGAACTCACTATGTTGCCCAGGGTGCTCTCAATCTTGTGGCAATCTTCCTGCCTCAGTTTGAGTGCCAGAATTACAGGCGTGCTCCATAATGCCTTATGTGATCTTTAGTCTTTCCTTCCTTTTGTGGGATTTGGTTTTGGATTATTCTTGTTTTTCTTTTTCTTCTTCTTCTTTTTTGTTGTTGTTCTTTTTTTTTCTAAGACTTCAAGATGCATCAATTAGATTATTTTTTTGAAATCTCTGAATTTTATTGCATCCAGGAGATTTTGGTGTGGTGGTGCTGCACTGGATTTCTTCTCCAAAGCTAGCCTGCCATGTGGGAGGAGTAACCTCACTGGATTTGCGGCTTACAGTAACCCTGGCTTTTTCCTGGAATAGCACTGTGGGTCTGCTGCTTATCTCTGGGCTGCTGGGCCTCTCGAGGTCACCTTAGAATCAGGTCCCTTCCACTTGGGAGCCAGAGGCTGCTGGTGCAGGCTGCCCGTTCTGTTTCTTCATGATGTTCAGCTTCCTGTCAGCTGCTCTTCATCTTTGGAGTCTTCCCTCTCTCTTTGATAATCTTGAAACTCTTTTCCAGCTGTCTAGATTCCACTTCCCAGAGAAGCTGTGATCTGCTGCCCACTTCCACTCTGCCAGTTTAAAAAATGCAGTCGTTTTTATTACTTTTTTTTTTTTGGTACTGATGATCGAACTCGGGACCTTGCACTTTCAAGGTAGCGGAACCACTGAGCTAAATCCCCTGCCCAAATTTTTATTTATTTACTTATTTTCATGGTATGGGGATCAAACCCAGGGCCTCAGACTAGGCAAGTGCTGTGCCAATGAGCTATATCCCCAGAACTTGTTTTTTCTTTTCAAAGATCAGAATAGCAGCTAATTAGGCCAGGTGTGGTAGCACAAGCCCTTAATGCCAGCACTGGAGAGGTCGAGGCAGGAGGACTGCCAAAAGTTCAAGGCTAGCCTGGGTGACATAGTGAGTTCAAGACCGGGCTAGACGACATGGTGAGACCCTGTCTCAAAACAACTCCACACACACACACACACGCACGCACGCATGCATGCACGCATGCACACAAAGAATACCAGCTAATTATAGAAACAAAGCATGATGACAGAGTAAGAAACGCTTTTTTTTTTTTTTTAAATTTGAGATAGCGTCTTACTATTTTCCCAAGCTGGCCTCAAACTCTTGTGCTCAAGTAATCCTCCTGCCTCAGTCTCCCAAGTACCTGGAACTACTGGTAGGGGCCTCTGTGGTTGTCTTAAAATCCACTATTTGTAAACCCTCAATGTAGTAACTGATTCAATGATTGTTAGATGACCTAATTTTGAGGCATTAGATTCACATGGTATCTAAATACCACCTCATAGATGCTTCTAATTCTGAAGAAAAGCCTGAGGCTTTGTGTCAGAGATCTGACTGTTATAGCCTTACTCAGTGACAAAAAGCCCGGCACCCACAGCGGTGGGGCGGGCTGACCCGCTGTGGTTTCTGGTGTGAGGGAAGAATGTGTCACCCCTTCCACAGGGCTCATGACCCAAAGGTTTGACATGAATTTTATCACGGCGAAACTTCCAGAATGTGACATTTTAAAAATAACTTCTCAGCCAGGCGTGGCACACACCTGTAATCCCAGCACTCAAGAGGCTGAGGCAGGAGGATCTCTTCAAGTTGCAAAGCAGCTTGGGCTGCACAGTTCAAGGCCAGCCTGAACTACATAATGAGACCCTGTCTTAAAGTAATTTCTATGGATGTTTCAAAAAAGTTTCCATGGAAAGCTGAGAAAATAGACCTTGTTTTAAAATTTTAAAAGATAAAGATAAGAGTGCAATGTACTATATGTGCCTTGATTGGACTCTAGATCTTTAAAAAAAACCTAAAAACTTAAAAAGTGATTGGAGAAATTCAAACATTGACACTGTATTTGATGTTGTTATGGAATTTCCAGTGATGTTTCCATGTGCAAGGCATTGTGACAGGGAAGTGGCGTGTCCTCGTGTCTCCAGAGCACTTGCAGATAGCTCAGCACAACTCTGTGTGTGTGTGTGTGTGTGTGTGTGTGTGTGTGTGTGTGTGAGTGAAGGCTCTATGAGGTTCATTATTGTAAACTCTGAGGCAAAAAAGTCATTTTGGTCAAATTTCTAAGTGTGCTTTCTTGGACTTTAAACCTCATCACTATTTGGTATCTCAGTTTCGGGAACTAATTTTACAATACAAGTAGCTGTGCATTATTTCAGTCTACGGTTGCTCAGTAGGATTAAGTTGTGTTTAGCCTGTCATAGTGGTACACGTCTATATCCCAGCAGTCTGGGAGACTGAAGTAGCTGGAGATTACAAGCTTGAGGCCAGGCTGGGTAACTTGGTGAGACTCTTGGGTCAAAAAAACAAAACAAAAAATGGGCTGGGGATGTAGCCCAGTGCAGAGGCCTTACATTCAATCCCTAGTGTGTGTGTGTATGTATATGTGTGTGTGTATATATGTGTATGTATATGTGTGTGTGTGTGTGTGTGTGTATATATATATATATATATATATATATATATAAAAGTGCTGTATTTTGCCAATTATACCATGCATGTAAAAGGAATAGTGTACTATTTAGAATTTTATCACAGGACTCTGGAAGGAAAGGCAGTTTATATGTCTTTTTTTTTTTTTTTTTTTTTTTTGGTACCAGGGATTGAACTTGGGACCTTGTGCTTTCGAGGCAGGCGGCAAAACCACTGAGCTAAATCCCCAGCCCCTATGTCTTTTTGTTACCCATCAACAGCTGTCCTTTTGTTTGAACATTGTTCCCAGGAGGTCGGTGGGGTGGCTGTGGGGTCCTCTGAATTCTTGCCACTTTCTGGTGCACACCTCCAGGATCTGGGTGTCTCCTTTCCGGATTTGGTACATTGTTGCTCACTGCACAGTTCTCAACTCTAAACCCCTCTCTTTGCAGCCAAGTGTGCACCCCAGGCTCGAGCTCAGAGCCTTTGTGCCCAGCAGGGCTGATGCGGGTGTGAGATGTGCTCTGTGCCCTTTTAAAGGGGGACCTCTCTGGCTGGTTTTGCTTTCATAGTGTCTTATTTTTCTCTCTGTTTTATTATGAGAATCATCATAGGCCTGAAACTTTGTTAATGTTAAAATTTTTAAAAATTTTTATTAGTACATAAAGATTCCATTCATCATGGGGAGTTATATATAACACATCTGAATTCTGTTTACGTCTTTCTCTTTCCTCCCCTTTCAGTATGGGAATTGAAGTAAGCTTTAAACTTTGTTAATTAAAGCATGCTACACCCCCTTCAAAAAACCCCCAGCAGCCTTTGGCACTCGATGAAGAGCCTCTCGTGCCTTGCCTGGCTCCGTCTCAGGGCCGCATTCGTCCTGCGTGTGCCGTGGCCATGGCCGTGGCTACGCAGTGGCAGTGATTGATCCTCACAGGGTGAGGATGTCCAGCCCCCGCGTTCACAGAGGTGATGCCTGCTCATGAGATGTGCTCCCCATAGGGAGTGGCTTTGTGCAGCCCCTCAGTGACGTCCCCTGTCCCCTCCCGTTGCCTGCATTTCAGAACTTAAAGCAGCAGTATTACACCGGCTACTCGGAGAGCGAGGTGTTGGAAGTCATGCAGCACATGGCCAAAAACGTGGTGAAAGTAAACGAAAACTTGACGAAATTCATCGTGAGTACTGTTATTTCTGTGTCGAGCGTTAGGTTATAGGTCTTGTGTGTGTGTGTGTGTGTGTGTGTGTGTACGCACGTGTACATCTCCATGCCAGTGTGTTCTTTGTGTGTGTGCAAGTCTCATGTTAGTACCGATCCTCTCCTGTGTGTTTTCCTGGTCGAGGAGGGGATGTGCTTGGTACTAAACGCTGGGAGCAGACTCCGAAGTGAGTTGGATAGTTAATGATGGCCAGCCAGCTGGCGAGGGACGGCTTCCTGCCATGTCGTGCCCGCATCCTGGCTCAGGCACCTAGCAGGCAGGATGGCTGCTGTGCCTGTGACTGGTGACGCCAGGCATCGTGGAGGTCCTGTGTGCCCGGGCCCCTCGTCCAGGTGTTGTGGTGCTGTGATGGGAAGGCAGCTGAGGAGCGGCATGGTCAAGGGCAAAGGCAGGGAGGCTCCTGGGTGAGGGGCACAGTGTCTGTGTCACGTGGCTCGGCAAGGGTCTGGCGATAAGAGCAGGGCGTGTGCACACAGCGGAGGCTCAGTGCCCTCACGCTTCAGTTTTCAGGCTGCAGGTGCAGCCTCGGCCCTGCTGGGCACTAGGTACCACTCTTTTGTTTCCAGTTCTGCTGCTGGTCCTGAAGGTACCTACTTATGACCAAGAGTGCCCCGCCCTGTCCCTCTGGTAGCTCACGAGGCAGAGCCCGCTGCTTGGACAGTGACTGTTTTCCCATCACCCCATGGTCGGCAGGGTTTTGCTTGCTCAGGTGGCAGGGGCTGGTCCGGCAGTCGGTCAGGACCCAGGGCCTCATGGCACTGCCTGAGCCTTCCATGCTGGCGAATTCGGCTAGGAGGAGTTTTGAGGTAGCAGTCCTGACACCTGCTTGTTCCCCTTGACTCCTGCAGGCCATCAAGAACAAGTATGCCAGCAACAAACTCCTGAAGATCAGCACCATCCCGCAGCTGAACTCCAGAGCCATCAAAGATCTCGCCTCCCCTCTGATGGCAAAGCCCTAGGCCTCTGGGCTACATCCCTGTATCCCTGCACTTTCTGTCTTAGCTTTTTTTTTTTTTTTACTGGCTTGGAACTCTCGATTTTGTAAATAATCCTCGCCTTATTTCATGCAACCTCTTCTCAGACTAATTTTCTAAATATATATCGAGGAAAAATAAAGCTATTGATTTTTCTTAAGGTATCCCATGTGTATTGGTGTGTGCTTTCTATACCAAAGAAATCAGCAGAAGGTTGCTTGCTTTTTGAGTTATTCTGAGTAATATGTACAGTTTTGTCTTTCTGGCTTTGCAAAAGACCTTCCTACCATTTTAACTGAGCTCGGCTCAGTGAAGGCAAGTCCATTCCTAAACTTCTTGAATATGAATGAATTGGTTCATTCTGAAAATTTTAAATGAGTGGATAACCATGACAATTTCCTGGGTCTTCTTCCTCTACTCTGTAATTCTTTTGCGTAGGAACATCTGGTCCACCAGGATGACAGCTACCTGACGAGCCCTTGTGATGGGTGGGTCTCTCTCTCTTTTTTTTTTTTTTGCAGTACCTGGGATCAAACTCAGGATCTTATGCTTACTAGGCAGGCATGGTGCCACTAAGCTAAATCCCCAGCCCCAGTGTTATGGATCTATTCCAAAGACATGAGACAGAGGAAGGAAATGGGCCATGACATCCTGGGAAAGGTGACACTTGGACCATATTTTCCTGCTGAGCTGCTTCAGCCATGTGTGTGTTAAATGTGGGTGGGTGTGGGAGGAGGCATTTGATCCCATTTAACATTGTGTTTTTGCTTTGTTTTCTGCAGTGCTGGGGATGGAACTCCAGGCCTCGTGTATACCAGGCAAGTGCTCTGCTACTGAGCTTTACCCCCTTTCACTTCAGTGATTTTTTTAAGGCGAATACATCCTTGGTCTCCAATCCCTAACATAAAAATGAAGAAAAACTGTGGACTGTGAGTTTCTTATGACAACAACTTCCTAAACTGTGAGTTCAATGAGATATGCTAATTGGTGTCTTGAAAAAAAAAAGGAGGAGTTAGTCAAATAGATTTGGGAAAACTTGCAACTTTTTGGACCATTCATACAGGCTTGGTTGGAGCTTTGCATTAAACTCATTTAATTTAGCGCATTCCCAGCCTAGAATGTGGCAGGTGCTACCGTCTGCTGACAGAGCCACAGCATGGATCCTGTGGTACAGGTCTGACAGGACTCCAGGCCCCAGAGAGAGCTTGGTTCTCATCCCTTCCCTGAGCAGGCCAGGCTGCCCGGCTGGGATGTGTTTAAACTGTATGATTTGAGCATCTAGAGGCACCAGGTGTCCTTATGTGTTGAAATCCTGTGACATGGTCTAAAATAGTTGTGCTGAGTTCGTGGAGCTTGTTCCACACCTGGATCACAGGTGCAACCGGCAGCAGGTGAGACCTGAGGACAGAACTTTCCTGGCTCCAAAAAGTGACATACTTTTTTTTTTTTGGTGCTAGGGATCAAACTGGGGACCTTGAAGTGACATTTTTTTGCAGGGATGCTGAACTTAACTCCTCTCCAAGAAGAGGAGGACTTATGAGGAATATTCCAATGATACTATAGAGCTTTCTTACTACATGTTTTTCTTAAGTGCTCTGACTCAGGAAATTCTTCCAGGCTCTTATTAAAAGACCTTCATGAGGGCCGGGGATTTAGCTCAGTGGTTTCGCTGCCTGCGACCCGAGTTCGATCCCCAGTACCCAAAAAAAAAAAAAGATTTTTTTCGAGGGGATATTGGAAGTTCAAAGGCTGACACATTAGACTATCAAATTTCTAAATATCTGTTTAATTAGGGATGGTGATTAAAAGCATGAGCCTTGGGGCTAGGTCAAGGTCCCCGTGCGATACACACCAAAGCCATGTGACCCTGGGCAAAGCTGTGACGTGTACCGCACCACTCAAAGCCTTCTGGTGGGAAGGGCTGCTTGGAAGGGATAAGGTCAGTAGGAGGCAAACACATCGAAATTAGCTGAGAGCAATAAAAGCCAGTTACAAAATCCAGGATGAACTATGCTCAGTCAGGCTTTGGGAAAGAGGCAAAACTAGTAGAGAAACGGATATGATGGTTAATTTTGATTGTCAACTTGATTGGCTTGAGCTATGTGGATATTACTAATGCACACTTCTGGGTGTGTCTGGGTGGGTCATGTGACCTTGTGCACAATAGCTGGTCCCTGGCCCCCTCTCAGGCTCATCTCCTGCTTTCTGGTTCTCCTGTCCCACGAGTTGAGCAGTTTTCCACTGCCGTGATGTTTCTGCCTTGGAGCTAGCTAACCGTGGACTGAAACCTCGGAAACCATGAGCCTAAGTTGCAGGTGTTAAGAATTTTGTCTCAGCAATGGGAAAGGTGACCAATACAGAGGGCAACATTTAGAGTGAGGCCCACTCTTGACCACAAAAGTGAGGGGTGCCAGGAGCAGATTCTAGTGCCTGAAACCAGTTTCTAGTCTCACCACTGATGAAACCATAATTGGCACGCCATCTGTAAAAGAAAAAGTAGCAACTAGAGGCAGATTTAGTCTAATTAGCTCCACTTGAGAAAGGTCTGGGTTGGAGTTTGGGATGTTCTCAGAGGTAGAGTTTGGGTTATGTATAAGCTGGGCCCTGTGGCAGCCAGTGGAATTTCTAAGTCCTGAGGATGCATATCCGTGTTGTCTTGTTTGTTCATGTGAGCATCTCTGCCTGGGAGCAGCCATGGCTATGAGGAGGAGGAGGAGGAGGAAGAAGAGGAGGAGGAGGGTGCTCTGGCCCTCTGGGTTAGGAGGCAACAGCCCGGTGTACACAGGCCCAGGCCCTCTGCAGTGGAAACCACGTGACTACCTTCTGGCCAGCAGGAGGGAGAGGACATAGTACATACAGTTTCTTCAGCACCCTCCTCTTCTTCCTCTCCAAGGCTGGACTTGGACATGGTGATAGGTCAGCTTCAACCAGGACGGCCAGGAGAGCCATACCATGTGAGTGGTTGGTGCTCCTGGTGGGGGAGCCGTTGATCAACATCCGGAAAGGTTTCTCCCTTTGCCCTCTGCGTGTCTCAGTCTGGCTTCCCAAGACACTGTGGGAGAGGGGCCCATCCCTCCCTGCTCACCACAAATGCATTAGCACCTAACCTCCCAGGTGGTTCTCCGGGAGGTCTTTGAGACCTTTTCAAGAGGCCCTTGATAACAAAACCATTTTGACAACAATATTAAGATGTTCCTTGCCTTTTTCCTCCTGTCTCTTCTCTCAATAGGGTATGGTGGAATCTTCCAGAGGCCATATGGCATGTGATGAATCATTGCTCTGGTGGTATGTATATTTGACTTTAATATTTTTTTTCAGTTTTAATTTCTAATATGGTAAATATTGATAGGTGTGACCAATAAAAGTCCAACTCTTAGGGGCCCTCAGTAATATTGAGGAACATAAAGGGGACCTGAGGCCGAAGTGTGAGATTGCTGGTCTCCCACGGAAGCTTGAACACACTGGCCTTGTGTCTGGGGTCAGGTGAGGTACCCTGGTTTCTGGTGCCTCACTTCAAAGATGTGGAGAGATCTGCCCCATCTTTAGTGTGTGTGACAGCACTGTGAACTGGGATTGCACCTACACACCCTCTGTTTACAGGATGGCCAGTTCCAGCAGGTGGGCGTGGATGCCCCTGGGTGGTCATGCTCTTTTGGGTAAGTGATTCCTGAACCACCACGTCTGAGTAGCTGGACAGTGAGGCGAATGTGGGCCTGGGCAGAGAAGGGATGACAAGAAACCAATATTGATGACTTGAGGACCCTAAGGGGAAAAAGGCATTTTTCTGAAGACACATGAATTAGGAAAAAGGGGAAATGTTACTTATCCTGGATCATTCTGGCAGCCACTACATTAAATTTCTATATATGTATGGTTGAGCATATGCTCACCCATGTTTATAACGGTACAGTTTGTAATAGCTAAAGCTTGGAAACAGCCCAATTGCCCATCAACTGGAAACTGGGTAAAGATGTGGGGTTTTTTTTAATATAAAACGGAGTATTACTCAGCCATAAAGAATGAGAAACTGGAGACATTTATAACTAAGTGGATGCACATTGAGTGGATGCACATTTCAGTCTTAAGTGAAATTAATAGGACACAAATGTGTAAATACCAAATAGTTTCTCTGGTGTGAAAAACTAAGTGTAAATAAGGATCAAAATGTATAACTGATATTGGGTAATAGGAAGAAAAGGTCTAAAGGAGCAGGGGAAGTGGAAAGGGTAGGGGAAAGGTAAGAAGGAAAAAGAAAAAATACGAGAAAAGGAAAAAATGGAAACAAAGTCTTTGTAAATAGGGAGGGCAGGGGAAGGGGAAAAAATAAGAACCAAGATACATCATGTAGAGGTACAAGATCCCAATGATGAATGTAATTGTATTTTATACCTGAAAGGTACCAATAAACTTAATGGAAAAAAATTTCTATATATGCAGAAATCAGCTTACGAACAAACCCAGTGTTTCTCCAGTTTCCCTTTGAATGGATCGTCCTAGAATTTCAGCATTGCTATCTGGGATCGAAGCTGTGTGCCCACTTGTGAACATGAACTACGCACCTGTCCAAGCGACCTTTGTCAAGCACTTCCTTGAGGTTTGTGTGCGGCACCAGGTGCAGGTGATGAGGCCGGGTCACGTCCCCTCGGGTGAGGGTTCTCCCTGCCTCCTGTGGACTTTTGTCACCCAGAGCATGGGCGTCCCCAGTTTGCGACCATAATGTTAAGTGAAATAAACCAGAGGCACAAGCTTCCATATTGCATGGTTTCTTTTATATGAGAGACCTAAAGTGTAAATAATTTAAAGAGCAAAATGAAAGGTAACAGGAGGGCCGGGGATTTAGCTCAGTGGTGCCACCACCTGCCTCAGAAGCAGAAGAACCCAAGTTCAATCCCCACTGCCAAAAAAAAAAAAAAAAGGGTAACAGGAAACAGGGAGCTAGGCCTTTTGCAGATGGGAAGGAGACCGAGAGATGGGCAGAGGCAGAAGGGGAAGTAAAAAGAATCAAGATGTGTTATGCGCACACGCCCTCCCCACGGTCAGTATAATCACTAGGCACTGCACACATGGACTAATGAAAAGGAAAGTGAAGTCTCATCCTGCAGGCCCAGGGCTTATGGCAGCAGCGGGGAGCTTTGGCGCTGTGGC